CCCATATCTTGTCTTTCTCTCCTGTTTTATATATGTCCTATTATCCTTTTTTTTCAATTTACTCCCAATTTTTCTGGTGGTGAGGGTTCAGTTTATGTAATTGCTCAAAATAGGACAGTTAAATTTGTTATACAAGCCATTTACGACTGGCGCTCACGTTTCCTCCGCGTCTCATAGCGTCTCCTTGTTTGGCTCCATGGTGAACGGCAGGAATGGCTGCCGAATAAACATCCCCCATGGGATCTCCTCGTCTTTTTTGCAATTCATCGCCCCTCAAAAAGGCGGTGCACCAGTGCACTTTAGGACCACAAAGTTTATTGTGACAGCAGAGAAAAAAAGGCAAAAAATGTCACCTTTTTTCAGTATCAAATTCAGTGTTTGATGCAAATCCTAAGGGCGGGCTACGAAGCCTTCGAAAAAACCAGTAGTGATCTCCTTCTCAAACTGAAAGACTATACGCAATACGAGTGACTACATAGGCTGGTCACCCCATCACCGTGACACCCCGCCGAACACTGAACAGCGTCAAGGGCGTCGTATCAGATGATGAATCTGTCCGAGAAGGAACTTTTGATGGGATGGAAAGAGGTGAATGTCACGCAGGTGCAGCGAATAAAAACGAGGAGAGATAACGAAGAAGTGCCAACAAAACACATTATTCTTACCTTCGCATCTATGCCTTTCCTACTGAAATAGTAACTCTATATTTGAAACTACCTGTAAGACCCTCCATATCCGACCCGCGACGCTGCTTTATATGCCAGCGCTTTGGCCATGGCTCCCACAGGTACCGAGTTCAGCTTAATTGTGCCAACTGGGGCACTACTGGACTCTTCATTGATGAATAATGAAAATTGGAATTACACTGCATCGATTCTAAAGGTGACTACCCGGCCTATTCCAGATCCTGCAGGGCGTGGAAGTGAGGAAAAAGTCTCAACAACAAAAATCAAACTAGACCTAAGCTTTCGTGAAGCTCGGCAGCATGTCTCTTCGCACTTTGCAGAGAAGCCATCATATGCCGAAGGGTTGCATGAGGGGTGAGCACCACGATGGCTTATGGCGGTGCCCTGCACAACGCCTAGCATGTCGAAGAAAACTCCATCAACTCTCTCGGGGGAGCAGCCTCGGTTGCTCGCCCTCCCTCAACACGGCCTCTTCGATCTTCCCTGTGATGCATGGGAACAGCCAGGGCGGCAAACCAACGAAGAAAATCTAATCGACCTCTGGCCAGGGAGGTTCCAAGGTTCCGTTCACCATGACGAAGCCTTACATACGTACACGGCCGTCTGGCGCCTCTTTGGATGCAATAGACACAACTGGTTCATCAGCGCAGACTGCGCGGAAGGAGCGCCGAGATCCTCTCGGGAACTTCAAAAGACAAAACATAATTTCAATGCCTCCCAAAGGCTGTATAGAATACGACACTTTTTTGAATACGAGTCACTTCCATTTCGTTATACGAAGCACTACTTCAATCCCAGTATGGAAACACAAATAATGCAGTGGAATATCAGAGGACTGCTTAACCTCGATGATGTTCAAGAACTCTTAGACAAACATTCACCAAAAGTGCTGCGTGTACAAGAAACACTCTTCAAATTTCCTAGGTTTCTATGTGATATGCCGAATGGACCGAAATGATGCTGTGGCGTCATCTGGTGGCGTGGCAACATAGTTTGTTAAGATGTAGCATGTACAAACATCTACAACTACAAACAGCCTTTGAGGAAGTGGCTGTTCGAGCAGGCCTGAATATACTCGTCACTATCTGCTCTATTTACATACCCCCACATTATTGTCTTGAAAAATGTGAATTACATTTTTGGATGTCCTAACGACCAGACTGTTGATAGCTTGCCGACCGGAACCAGAATGACCCTTGGGGACTTGAATATAAACAGCTGTCTATGGGGTGATTGTCGCTGCGACGCTCGAGCTTGCCTAATTGAACCGTTCTTGTTCTTGTGTACTTCGACGAGGAAGCCGACACAAATTCTTACGCCACAAACTTCGATCTGGGCGCGGTAGTCGTACAACAGCAGGAGGAAGTTGAAAAAGTCATCTCTTACCCAAGTCACACCCTATAACGCCTAGAGTTCAACTACAGCACCACAGAAAATGAGTAACTTGCCGTCGTGTGGGCACTAACTAAGTTTTGACCTTACCACTACGGACGCCCCTTCAAGATAGTGACGGGCTCGCTGTGTTGGCTTGCGAACCCGAGAGACCCTTCTGGACGACTAGTCTGGTGGAGCCTACGGCTGCAGAAGTATGGCGTCACTATCGTTTAAAAGTCGGGTCATGCGGACGACGGTGCAGACACGTTGTCACGCGCGCCAGTTGAGCCTCCCGCTCAAAACCTCGAAGACGACTGCGCTTTCTTGGACCCGTAAACATATCAGACTTAGCTACAAATCAGCAAGCGGATGTTTAATTGCGACCTATATTTCAACGTTTCGAAGGCCGCAGTGTATTTCTACCCGTGGATATAGCTCGCGGATTGTCATCCTTTTGCTTGTGACAGGGCGTGTTGTACAAAAAAAAACGCAGGTGCCAATGAAGAAACTTATCTATTGGTTGTTCGAAAAGGGCTTCGTGACCCAAGTCTATTTTCTTGCCATTCAAAAACCTTCATCTGTCCCCTACTCGAACACTCGCTAGAGTGTGCAAGTCTTACTATTGGCCGAAACTTGCTGCTTGCGTTAAACAACACGTCCAAGCCTGCCGCGAATTATAGTGTCGAAAATCCCCGTCTGTGAAGCCTGCAGGATTATTTCACCCTATAAAGCCACCCAAACCACCTTTCGATCAGGTCGGCGTAGATCTCCTGGGCCTGTTTTCTATGTCATATTTGGGAAACAAGTGGATAATCGTCGTTACAGATTATTTTATCCGCTACGCAGAAACAAAGGCTCTTCCCAAAGGTACAGCTTCTGAAGTTGCTCACGTTTTCGTAGCGGGAATGGTAATACGCCATGCTGCTCTATTCTGCGTCATCACAGACCGAGAAGCAGCGTTTACGGCAAGGCTTCCTGAGCACGCTTTCCAGCTGAGTTATACCATGCATCGCCGTAAAGCCTGTCCCCCAAAAATGAAAAGGTTGACAGAAAAACTGAACAAAACGGTTACTCATTTGCTGGCTATGTACATAGACATACTGCACAAGACGTGTGACGACTTTTATGAGGTACTGCTTTACGTAACATTCGCAAACAATACCACTACGTGAGAGACAATACGCTTCACGTCGTTTTCATCTTCTATACGGTCTTGATGCCCAGGCGATGTTGGATGACCTGCCCTTATGCAACATTGACAGAATCGACAAATATGATGAAGATGCCAAGTGTTTTGTTCAACGAGTTGAGGAAGCGTGCCAACTGACCCGTCTGAACATAAAACAACAGGACATCGGCACACAGCGCTACAAACTCCGCCACAGACAAGTCGACTACCGACCGGGTGACCATGTGCTGGTTTGGCCTTGTTCGCCGCAGAAGCATTTCTGAAAAAAAAATGTGGCTGATCTTCTTGTATAGAAATTGATATAACACGAACGTGAAATGCGTCCTTACAGAGGTAGTTGAGCGTTCAATTGGGCAATCTCTCTGGAACGGCTAGAAATTTTGAAGCCCCGTTTAAAAACGGCAAGCTGCTCATACCTTGCAGCTCACACCTCAAGCAGAAAGCCCGCATGAAATCAGCATACACCTGACGAGCGCAGACTGATTTCTTTCACGCCCTATACCAAGCTGATCAGTAGCACGACCTCCGTACCGAGCTTGCGGCTGTGGTGGCTACATCCTCACCATGGTTTTATTATGACAACCTTTCACAGTTCACTATCACTGCACATTTTTCACGTCACTGCCAGTTTTAATACTTCTATGTTTTTATTTGCGTTACCCAGAAAAATTTTGTGGCCCCTATACAGCCACGTACCATATCATAGTTCACTTCTCTTGTTTGCTGAAATGACGCCCTGTTGCCACCAATTGGCCCTTGCGCCATAAAGCATCACACACACACACAAAAAAAGAAAACTGTTGGTGATGATACGCATACCCTCTCTGGTCTTAGTTGACCCTTTTGAAGTTCAGTCACATTGAAAGTTGGGCAAGTTGGTGATAGTTCATGTTTACTTACGAAGCTGTCATGTGGAAAGATGTACATTGGCCAAACTGGCCGGTGCGTGCATAAAAGAATTTCGGAGCACAAGAAAGGATTAGCAAGTGATGCTTACTCTCACATTAGGGGGCATTGTTCAGAGTGCGCTTCGCTGTTCCCTGATACTAAAATACTTTCCAGTCACAGGGATCGGATGACTAAGTAATTTATCGAGGCATTCCGCATCGTATAAAGAACAGACAAATGTATTAACCAAGCATCGGTTAGTTCAAGCGACAGCGAATTGTGCTTTTTGAAAAATATTCTCCAACCACTATAGTAACACCTGGTACACATCGTGTTGTATAATAACCGGGTTTATTTCTGCGAAATAAAGTAGTTGCGAGTGCAGTGGTGTTAGTTTCATTCCTTTTGTGCCTGTCTCTGTGCGCTGCTTCCTAATTAAACATGATCTTATTGAACATATTTCTAGAAGAATTGCCTATATAATAAAACAGCGTATCAGTGCTTCTTGATTGCTGAAGTTAAAGAGTAGTTTTACGTGAGTTATGTGACGTTGATTGCCAGCGCAATGCTGAGGATGTGATAGGGGAAAAGAGAATCATGTGTTGCCTGCTTTACATGGACTCGTGGCAAGTTGGGCAGATATGCTACACTAATTTTGTATTTACTTTGCGCTTGCCCTCTTGCAATAATGAACACCCTGACCAATCAGAGGGCAAAACAGAACGTGTTTCAGGGAAGTCGTCAGTTCTCAAACGAGTCACGTGGTCAATGAGAGACTGTTCAGGAAGACGTGGGATGCAGAGTTCAAGCATCAGAGCTGACTGCCCGCACTGCATTTGCCTCTCTTCTTTCTACACGTGCAGGGTAAACACCGGCACAGCGGTGGTGTTCACCCTGCCGCCTCCGCAGTGCAGCATGGAGGTGCGCCTGGGCTACGGCCTCTCCGGTCCTCGGGCACAGGGACCAGTCACAGTGGGCGACCCGCTCACTCTCGTCATCACTATGACCAGCGTGCTGCGTAGGTGTCACGTCGTGTATTGTCTCGTGCAACGAAATAGCAGTTTTGTTTGCGCTTTATTGACCGTATAATAATCAGGTCGACTGAATGACAACAGTGTTTTATTCGAGATTAGCACAAAGGTTACGATTGCAGAAAACAAGCCAAAAGTAAATCCCTTTGCAGTTGTCCAACAATGTTTGCTGCGGGGAACGCTTTAAAAGGGGCCCGATTTCGAGCTAAAAGCGGCCCCAGTAGTCATGTCGTTTCACTTTATCGCAAAACTTGTAGCTAAACTAAAGAAAAACAGTTATTATGACTAGAGCTTTTATTATCACACAATAAATGTGATTTTGATCATGTAAAGAAAATTCATGAAAGGTATAAATTTTTTTCTCTTGCATTGTCTGGAAGGCAGAGATGCCAAATGGTTCAATAATTTTTTTATTCATTTATTTATTTACTTAGCACAACGCTAATACCAACAAACAGGAAAGTGGATGAAAAATAACTAAAAGTAGTAGAATACAGCAAGCAAAACTAACATTTAACTGACTTCTAACAGGCTGGTTAGTGTTTGCGAAAATATATTTACAGCGTCACGAACACGAACATCATTAATAATAGAGGAATTCTACTCGTTTCTTGCGCGTGTTAGAACAGCTTCGGGTTGCATGACGTAGAACGCCTACCTCACAGAGATAACCAAGGCAGGGGGACCGAAAGTGCGGTGACACAACAAACGTGTCGTGAAGGACATGATGGTGCTATATACAATGAAATAAATCCAAGTGCCAAAACCTTCGATGTGTAGTAAGATTTGGGGGGAGAAAGGCTAATATCGTGAACTTAATTCTATCAGCGTGATTTAGTTAAAAAGAATATCATGCCCCGCCACAGTTGTCTAGTGGCTTTGGTACTCGGCTGCTGACCCGCAGGTCGCGGGATTAGATCCCGGCGGTGGCGGCTGTATTTTCGATGAAAGCAAAATTCTGTCAGTTCGTGTGCTTAAATTTAAGCGGAAGGTAAAGAACACCAGGTGGTAGAAATTTCCGGAGCCCTCCACTACGGCGTGTCTCATATTCATATGGTGGTTCCAGGAAGTTATCTCCCTACAATTTTTATTATTGTTAAAAAAATTATCACATTCTTTCTGTTTGCATTACGCGTAATGCAAACGTATCAATAATTATGTCAAGTGACAAATGCCAATGCAAGGATGAAGAGTTAAATGGGCAGGCTATTAGTGTTGCCTTGAGTTTTCGGATGATTACAAATCATATTTAGCACCAGGTTGTGAAGCAATTGTATCCGAATGGTTAGTACGTATAAGTTCAGAGTGCAGTATAAAGTTATGCAGGATAGACTCCTCGCCAGAGTAATTTGGATCATTCCAGCATACAAGCCAGTAGAAACGTCTAACATTTGTAGAAGTTTGACTGGCTCATACTGAAACCGGCAGAAAGACCACTGGACGTGGAAATGCAAGCTGCCTTTCCTTGGAGGCACGCACCGATATAGATTAATAAATTTACAACAATAACAGAACTGCTTCACTTTCTTGTAATTTTTTAGTTCCATAAAGCTCACTCGAGAACATGCACCGTGCTTTAAACATTAAAAAAAACTGGTGCTATATCAGATAGTGGGCCGCGTGAGCATTGTGCTAGCCACGTGTTTGTCGATAAGCGCGCAACTTCGTCTTTGCAGGCGCGCCGTGCATTGCTTTTGTGGGCATCGATGCGTGCGCATGCGCGAACGCGACAGAAAAAAGTTGCAAGGAGGGAGTGCGCAAATAATAGAAATATTGAAAATATGTGGCGTTTAACGTCTCCAAACCACCATATGATAATGAAGGACGCCGTAGTTGATGGTGCTGGAGACCTCGACCATCCGGTGTTCTTGAACGTACATACACATTGCACAGTGCACGAGTCTGTAGTGCTCACCTCCATCGAACTGATGCGGCTGCCGCCTGCAACAACCGGAACTGAACTTGCGTCATTCAGCTCAGCAGCCGAGAATTGAAGCCGCTACACCACCGTGGCCGTAGTAAGAAAGTTGGCAACTGAATGAGTAGAAACAGGACATTGCAGCCAAAAAGTATCCAATGCGCCAACCTCAACCCACATGAGTGAATTAAATCTCGCGATGTGTGGCGGAGAATTCCTTTGCGAATCACCGCGAACAAATTATCCACCCGACCAACCGAGATCGATATCTGCAGTCTACAGAACTAACAACACTTATCTATCATCGAAGAAAAGCCAAAATTTCATTCGACGTCGGCAATGTTTTCATCTTTTTATAGCTCAGTTACATCATGATTGCAGGTGATGCAGTTTCACGGTATTTTCTTCTAATCGTACTATGTACTTCTCATTGCGAGTACGTGTACACCACATCATGTTTTCTGGTGGGATTATTGAATCTATAGAAAAATATTACCAGGAAAAGAGCTCACAGGTATAGTGTTTTCGAGAATGCCAAATATCTGTAACATATCATCCAAGAGCCACATTGAGTTTCAACTGAATAATTCCGTATATTTCCCAGCATTCCACAGCCATTTGCGCCGGATCCTATGAGAATAGTTGTTAAACAGTGAACTGAACCACACAGCTTTTGGCCTTGAATTCTGTGCTTGAACTACTGTTCTAGCGCATTAGTTTGCCTTTTGGTATGACCTAAATGTTCAAATTATCTTCGCTACATTTTACAGTCTTCTTCTCGGTATCTGTGAGCACATACTAAACTGTCACTTTTCTTTTGGTATAAATGCACAATTGCTTATCAATTAACTAGATCCGAAGATGCCCTGTGAAAATTCTGGGGCATCAAGCGGTATTGAAAACGTTCGTTCCTCCCCCTTTTAATTCTTTTGGTGATTTGCCAGCTGTTGCTTCAGTAAGAATAACATTCATGGCATTGCGAAAGCGCACTGCATAGATTCTATCGTGGAGTCGTCTTTTATGTCAGTTCTACCATGCTATCTCAGACGGTTATTTTTAGATCAACGTTTATTTAAACCGGTTGATTCATTCTCAGTGGTTAAAGAAGCAGCACGAATATAGGATGGACACAGAAGTTGGGAAACAAATAGGCTTGCATGCCTTATCGGCAGCTGTATTATGATTCCAGAATATTACCAGAGCTCGTGCGTTATACAGCGTAAATTTTGGTAGATTTCTATTTTTCTCTGTCTTTTATTTTTTTTCCCACGAGAAGTAGGCCCTGATAAAATCGAATGAAAGGTGACACACCACTCTTCTTTATTTTATTCTCCTCTGCGGATTTCAGATGCTTCGTAGTTTCGAGGCAAAAAGTTTCGTTGAGCGTTAGGGAATTCTTTGTTTTGTCTGCTCTCTTCGCAGGGGACGTCGATATCCTCGTGAGCAACTGCGTGGCTCACAACGGAGCCGACCAGAAGCTGCAACTCGTTGATGTGCACGGGTGAGTGCTGCAGTTCACTTACTTGGTTGTATAATGTTACAGTGAACGCTTCAGGGGGGTGCAAGCTGTAGAATACCATTCTTTGAAACACCGTTGAATCCTTGTTTTCCCAGATGAAAAAGCAAAGCATGTTCATGTACGTAACTCGTTATAATTGATTTTGCTAGCAAAGATCTAAACCGGGCTGTTCGCTAATTCACTGCAGTTGTTTGTGCGGGCCTCGGCCACTGTCGCTAAATTGTCGGCTCGATTCTCTCGGTTTTACTTGAATAAAGTGCGGTCGCGGTACATTTTCGTTATATTGTTTTTTCGCAGCTGCATGTTCCTCGGAATTATCTAATTACATAAAGTTCCCCAGAATTTGGTATGCATGGCGGCTACACTAAGACTGTATGTAAAGACGCTTCCGCAGAACTGGAGGGAAAAGGGATAGACTCCCAACCGACGTTGACGTTTGCAGTCTCTATTGGCTTCCTTCCCTATTGGCCGTTCTATCCCGAGGAAGCTATCATGTCTTGGCAAGAGGCCCCTAGAAAATTCAATGTCTGAAATTCACTTGCTAGACAGCCAGCCTACAGCTAAGCAGTAGAAAAAAACGATGAATGCATGATCTAACTCCCTTTATCAAACATACTGGAGTATTCTCTAATTATTGACATCGATAGTTTTTTGCCCATAGGTCTATTTCATGATACTGAACATGATCGAAGTCATTAGGAAAATTACGTATTTGCTAACACGCAAGAAACTTACACCAACATATTCAATAGCGACTAACTAGATCATTTCATCGGTGCCAGTTGAAAAACTTCAGTGCATTTGTCACACGCACAGCACTACCAGAGCGGCGTTATCATCCACGCGCGTGGAACATTTACTATGTAATGCCGCTTCTCTGTGTAATGCCAAGTGTGCGAACTTGTGCCACGGGCAAGTTTACAACCCATTTCCCGAGTCTGTTCTCCTTAAACTGAATATCTGCTGTTGTTTTTATTCGAGTTTATGAATGAATCTCGTTTTTGAGAGCCCCCGATGTACTTGTAAAGTTCCTTGATGGCTTCAAAATTTTTATTAAAGAACCATCATTGACTATTTTGTATGCTCAAAAATATTTAATAATTCAAAAGATTGTCTTTAACCACATTTTTTTACACAAGCTTGTACTGATCACGCCTATGGGGCCAAGCTGTTGCTTTTTCAACACACTTAAAGCTACAAATAATATTTATAACAATATAATATATTATAACGATTTAGAAAAGCAATAAACGACGAGAAACATTGATATGTCGTGTTTTAGTGTGCCAAAACCACCATATCATTATGAGAAACGTCGTAGTGGAGGACTCTGGCAATTTCGACCACTTGGGCTTCTTTAACGAGCACCCAAATCTGGGCACACGGGCCTGCAACATTTCCGCCTCCATCGAAAATGCAGCCGCCACACACGGGATTTGATCCCGCGACCTGCGGGTCAGCAGCTGAGTACCTTAGCCACTAGACCACCGCGGCGGGGCAAGTACAATAGGCAGGTGGTTGGCAACGAATAATCCAATAAATGTCAGGGCAAGTAAAGCACGAACAATTAACGCAAGAATCATGCTGTTTACAGTGAATAAGTAATTGCCAACATATCAGAGGTCGTTTCACTCGTATACCTGCAAACCAGGTGCCACCAAAGTGACATGAATAGTCTCCGTCAGTTTTCTTCGATCACGACTGACTGGGGAAAATGAATTAATCACGCTGTACCTTTAGTGGATTTTGTTGCAGCAGCTTAAGCATGCTGCTAGCCGTAATTACTCGATTGATGAAGCACAAATATATCATCAACGTTTATTAATGGGTCACTCAATCAATCGCGCCCAAGGGTGAAACCACATGAACTGCAGCACGCCCTCGCTATTATTGCTAAGACAGGTCAGAAAGTATGTCTTTTCATATGTTTCTTCACTACAGGTGAAAATAAATATAATAACGAATAATTTATTTAACGATGAGTCAGACATGCCGAATTGAAACGAAAAAGAACCTATGCGCTTAAGCGATATATATTGTTACTGTTTAGATTTCTTTTCATATTTGCCCCCGCCAACAGAGCTATATATAGCTTGCGATGCCTTGCGAAAGGCACCCTATTTCACCTAACATGCAGTATTTGCCCAGAACCTTGTTACATGAGCAGAGTGCGTGTGAAAATATCAATACTTGGACATACTAACTTCCTTTTGGCCAGCCCTGGACGTACCTGAGGTATTCTCTGTATACTTTTTTCTGCGTCCTTGCTCGCGCAGTTGCACCTTGCAGGAGCGTCTTCTGAGTGCCTTCCGAGGTTCGCATTCCACTCGTGCGGAAGGGGGTCAAGAGGTGGCGCTGTTTGCCTTCCTCAAGGCCTTCCGCTTCACAGGCAGCAGGGCTCTGTACGTCGAGTGCGACGTCCACATGTGCCACAGTTCCTGCCCGGTGAGCGCGTGCACGCTTTCTTTACGAAGTGTTGTGCTTGTGTTCTTCAATAAACATTGTACACCTGTGTGAAATCTTGCATGGGAAGCGCCTAGCCAACTGTACTGGGCGCTTCTAGGAAAACCTTCCAAAATTTAGATGAAACTACTAAGAAAGCCCACAGAAGCGATGCTGGAGAAAATGTCCACCGTATCGATCGTTCTTGCGCTTTCAGTTGTCAAATAGTTATGCCTCACTAAGCCACGAATAATGCACCTGTTAGTCTGTGCCTATTCGTCCAGTTTCTTTCTTCGCCTCCAAAGTACGACGAAATTGTACTCTTACCAACTTCCTTAACTTTCCCCGCGGCTTAGTCGGTAAGCTCAGGCTGTATAAAGCGTCCGTACTGTGGTGATGATGCTGCCGTGTTACAAATCAATCCAGGGAAATTTTTCATCAAGCGCAATCAATTTTCCGGGGTCCTGCATGTCTTTATTGTTGATGTCTCTGTTACAACGAATGGTAGCTTTTGTTCTCTAGATTGTTGCCAGTGTCCATTGAACTTGTCTGTCGTACTCAAGCAAAACAACGGTGTCACAGCGTTGTTTTTGAAAAATTTATTGAGAAAAAGACTTCATAAGGCTCTTTATTTCAAGAATAAAGATTTCGAGAGGCGTCTTTATTATAGAATGTCATAACAAATCAGGTGAATTATTACAAACATTGATGTGCGCATAATGACACCGTACTGTTGTAATTTTATATAGTCTGTCGTCGTTCACAAAATTTTGTGAGCCTGTTATCTATATAATTGGTAAGATATTTCGTCAGTCCCGGAAATATAGATGTAGCATCGAGAGCTGATAAAATCTTGGCCCCAAATTATACGATATCGCAGCCAGGTGGGTCATAAAATTTAACATTCTATTCATAATGCAGTTCTTATAGGTAAATAAAGAATAAAAATATACTCCGCAACATTCGGGAGCAGTATTCTACGTTTTCTTACATTTTTTTCTATATTTTTCTCGCTTATTCTTTCAACCTAATTGAAATAGAATTCCTTAAATCACTCAGTTTTAGACCTTATAACATACGTCTTTTTTTAATAAAAACGCACTAATTATTTTTTGCAAGTCAACAAAGTATTGGGTCTTGTGTAAGATAACTGTAAATTATTATTATTATTATTATTATTATTATTATTATTATTATTATTGTTGTTGTTGTTGTTGTTGTTGTTGTTGTTGTTGTTGTTGTTGTTGTTGTTGTTGTTGTTGTTGTTGTTGTTGTTGTTGTTGTTGTTGTTGTTGTTGTTGTTGTTGTTGTTGTTGTTGTTGTTGTTGTTGTTGTTGTTGTTGTTGTTGTTGTTGTTGTTGCTGGTGCTGTTGGTGTTAACATCTTGAAAGTGCAACGAAATTGGCCTGCCAAAGCCTCATTGATCTTGTGGTGATGTTCGACCTCGCAAACCGACGAAGTCTCGGCCTTACGAGACAGAGAGTGAGAGCGACATGACCGCTGTCTTGAGAAGCATTTCTGTGACTGAATCTGACGCCTTCGAGCGCACTAGACCCATGGCAGCGGCACATGCCTCAAGCATGATCGAGAGTTTTGGTCTTCTTATATGTGACGCCGGTGCTGCTGTCGCTACAGTCTGAATGGCCATAGACGACATGCACATGAATTATATTGGCTAGCACTAGACGAAATGCAGAAGAATGACAGCAGGAACATGTAAAACGCAGACGAGTGCCTACAGTAGTGCGGAAAAATGTAAATGACGTGCTGTCACAATATTATTCACCATGTTGCTACAGTAACAGTCTTAACTTTTTTTTTTAAAGATTGCATTCAGATAGTCGCTCGTATTTGACCCACGCACGTTTGCTTCGCTGCAGGCGCAGCAGTGCTCGTGGCGCCAGCGCCGCAAGAGATCAGCAGCTCTCGAAGGCAACGACACAGCGACGCCATTCGAGACGCTGAACTTATTCCAGGCCCTCGAGGTTCTCCACACGGACGCGGACGCCCAGCAAAGCCTTCCATACTCTGGTGTGTTGCCACCTCATATCCTGCAACTGCACCATCGCCTACAATTGCGGACGCGTGAAAGAGGCAGATAGTTAAGGCGGCAAAATGGTTGCTTTGTACTTAAAGCTCCGTATACCATTAGTTTCCGCTTGCGCCTAACCCTCTTGCATGAGTGAAACCACACCCATCATCAACTGCTTCAAGAGAGCGTGTGGGTATATACTCACTCGTGGTCACGCGCGCCGCTCTTCCGGTTTACCCCTTCTTCTCTCGGCCTGAATAAGCGAAGCTTGCTGGCACGAACTGAGATCATTCATTATCTCGACCCATACTGTGTTCGTTGTGATTCACGTCCCAAACTTCCGCTTCCATCAAGGATGTAGGATTGCTTCGAAAGCGCTACATAAACCTAGATTGCGTCCACAAACCTAACGTGAATACGTGTGTGTTCATTCTCGAGTCTGACGCTACCAGCTGCCGTCAGAAGCGATAGACCAAGTTGATAAATGAATAATAGAACTTTTTGCAGGAAAAGTTGGTCATTAGTGTCCACGAAAGGTGACTGCACAGCCACAGGCAAGCCCGACAGTATTGGGCCAGGGTCATGTATGCACTTTCTTATTACTCACACGGTTTCATCCTGCCGTACTTGGTCATTTCTTTAGAAAAAATACCAAAGGCCAGCGTAACCGGTGCCGCAGTACTAAACTACAGGCTGCTATTTCGAGCTTTGTTGTGTATGCCGCATTTCTGTGCAATGGAAAACCACTGAAATTTTTATATAGGGGCTCACATTAAAGAACTCTCATCGTAGAAGCTAATCCACAGTCACCCACATGGCGGGCTCCCCATAAGTTATGAGAAGAAGGACCCCAGGGCTATTTTTTATTCCACGTCGCATTTCGAGAATTTCTCTTTTCTTGCCCAAGCGCAATATAAACGAACAAACAACCCCGTTTTCACATTATAAATTCAATGCGTCGGGCTGTCGAGGCAGTGAATATGACGCGCGAGTATGTGCACTGATACAAAGCTCAGAATACAGTTAGTACGAGTACACGCTGTTACTCACGTTCGTACGGTATCAAGTACGCAATTGACCAAGCTATAGAAGCCACCATTTCAAACGAGAGACGTATTACATTAACATTGCCAGGTGCGGCGCACCTTCGTATTGCATGAGTGCGTGATGGAATAATAGGGCTACCTTCCAGCAAAGAAATATTTCCAGGGTGAGCTGACTTTTGTTTTACTCGACTGCATTTCCCACAACTGAATTATTGTCATACCGTGGCAGGAACCTATAATTCACCGACAGCCGCTCTATCGGTTCGTCATGATGTATATTAGGCGGCACTATCCGTGAAGAAACAGTGTTCATCGGGTTATGCTACATCCACCACTGTAAACACTGCAGCTCACCTCTCAGATACACTTTGCTTGTAAAAATATGCTCGAGGCACGAACAGAACAGAACGCGAAAGCTGTGCGTTCCTCCTTGTTGCGCAATGACGTTAGAAACTATCAAGAAACGTCTGTATTTCCACTCCTTTTTCGTATCTGACGTGATCAGAACATTTATTTATTTATTTATTTATTTATTTATTTACTTATTTATTTATTTATTTATTTACTTATTTATTTATTTATTTATTTATTTATTTATTGTGCTACGCACCTGTAATATGTATTCACGGGCCGCTTCGAATATTATTTTAAAGCTCAAGAGCACGCAACTTCATTAATCAGGGCGCAAATTAACGCGTACTTTTTTTTTCTTCTTTTGCATTCTTTCAGATCCCAGTGGCAGCTTGGTGTGCCTGAAGGCGACGGGCTTTGCAGCCGGAGTTGCTCTGATATTCTTGATGATGTCCCTATGTTTTGGACTGTCGGCCTGCACAGTTATTAAGCTCAGGGGAAAGAAGCCAACGAAAGCCGGTCCTGTTGAAGACGATAATCAGCCTCCCGACTACTGAGTTCTGAATTCAAACAAAAGAAAAATAAGCGACAATATCAGCAAGAGCCGTTGGGCCTATCTGAAGCTTCCGTTAGCGACGAACATGTCATAGGGAGCAGTTTTCATGTTGAAAACTTGCATATCCAGTCTTATAGGGTCTCACAAACTCGACTCTCATTAAAGCCGGATACGAAGCAATAGCCAACGGCGTTGTTGAGGCAACAAGTTACCAAACAGTGTAAATAAGCTGCGCAATTTTAAACGCCTATAAGGGTGCTAGAGTGCAGAATCAAGTTTAGTGTCTTCAAGTCATTTTTAAAACTTATTCTGCATTGGCCTACCAGCAGAGTTTTACTAATGTCGAGAGGAAATAAAATTCACGATAGTCGTTCTCAATGTCACGCCTGTTATGCTGTGGTATATATTCGTAGACAGGACAGACTCCTTTGTGCCCAAGCATGGGTGAGCGTACAAAAAAAAACACACTCGTGTGAGGCCCGCCATAAGAGACAGAGACAGAAAGATGCATATATTATCAGAGTCGATTTATATATATATATATATATATATATATATATATATATATATATAATTTTTGTTAACATAATAGCTCACATTTTCGTTCGTATGTAAGCATTTTAAATATAATCAATGCTATTCGACAATGCGATCGGCTGATTGAAGATTCTATGAAAAAATAATAGTTGCATGAATCATTCGGTAGACGTAAATCAGTGATAGTTCTATCATCTTAAGTGTTGACGCAAGAGAGTGAACTAATATATTGCGGTCATTCGAGTCGGAGTATATATATGTGCATTATAGACATTTTTAAAAACGCCCTCATGGGCGGCACCATAGTCTTTCTTGGGCTGCGCAAATTGACGTGACCCCTCAAAAATGCACTGACAAGGCTGCGCCCTTGGCCTTTCTATTCCCTTGCGCAGCCCATCATTTCTCCCTCCTGTGAAAATGTGTATGCTAAAACGTTAGTCTTCCTTTCGAGCCCTTGCGTGGTACTGCAAACGTGTAGGCGTGGGATGGTTGTGTGAGCAGGTTTCACAATAACACCACACACTACCAGTTACAGAGACGCATATACCCACACCTCACGCTTTAAGCTAAACAGGGCGCAAGCTGTACCCTACCGAAAATTACAGACTCCTGCTCAAACCCCACGTGTATGCATGTCTTGTATCCAGACATTTACACTGCAAACAAATGCATGTCGTGTGGTGAGGTTAGGTCGCCCCCCTGATTCGCATACTGCGGGAGTGTCAGAGCCTAATATACAATTTGAACAATGCCGATTCGTTCATCTCTTCACCCTCCAGCCTCTCATTGCGCTAGAACGCATGGCACACAGCTCCACTCGAACCTGACAGCACAATTGGGACGTACATCGTGTCCAATAAGCACCTTCGAGACAAGGTCTCACAACTGCGTTTGCGGAGGGTGCCCAGGTCCACTAAAAGATGCGGAAATCAAATTGTTTCGATTCGGCAATAAATTTTATGCCATCCTTCTTGTCGCCTTCATTCAACGTATTACACGAATTTAGCATATGCGACACGCTATCAATTCACCTGTAGCGATTACAGGTTAACCTAGCTGTCCCTAGTTGTACTCATTCTAATACTGCAATACTCAGTTTCGCATGTGCATCCCACAGAGCTGAAGCATATTCGAGAAAAAATTTGACTAATGCACTATAAACGTCATGTTTGCCCTGTCGGCTTGCACCTGAAGGATCACAGTGAGGACCCCACAATGTGCGGGGAGCGCAAGCATTTTCAGTGAGATCCTCCCACATCAGCGTTACACTGAAACCTTTATAGGCAACAATATTTCTGAGCACAGTATGGTCACTAGAATAAATTACGCTGACTCACGATCACTTATAAGCGTTAAGAGTCATTGTCCTCTTTTTATTTCAGCTGAGAACAAATAACCGGACTCAGACTCCATGGTTCGATCTGAGTCTGAGTGCATGAGCCGGCTCCTGAGTCCGTTAGCTTAGAATTAGCTAGGACGAACATGGTGTGAATGCTCCTTAACATTGATATCGCGTGCAATAGGGTCTCTTCTTGCTGCCCTTGTTATGGTTCGTTGGAATATGAGTCATGATTGGTTGCGAATGGATTAGGAGATTTTAGCTTAATACCATGAAAACGTAATGTATATTTATCAGCTACATCCCTAGAAGAGTTCAAGGGGGCTGTAATCAAAACATTCCCCTTTGTATGTCATATCTCTGATCAATAAATAAATAAATGGCGTATGAACAATACATTTTCGGAGGAGACGTTAGTATGTACGTCAATATAGGTAATGCTGATAGCAATGCTGCAGATCGGTAGACCGGACAATAGGTCGGCAAAATTATTCGGGACTCACTCAGGCACATTCAAGAAATGTAGCTCGCGCTTTGGACTCACTCGGACTCAAACTAACCATAACATTGCCCAGACTAAATTCAGACTCACACTCATGGCCTGATCGGAGCCTGAGAGAGACCGAGTGGTTCGACGCATGAGGGAGTTCGCCCACCTATGCGTGTAGCTAAGGCTATTACTCACTCTTATTTGGTGCGTTTTCTTTTAACATCTTTGAACAGTGCGGAATTATTCCTGAAAGGATTTGCTATCACATCACGCTATACGACGGTAGCAATCTCATTGACATGAATGAGGAATGAAATTGGCACCATCTTCTGAGACTGACCTGTGGGGCACTTTGTCACAAGAAACGCTACATAAATGCACCTAAGTTCAACATACTGAACAATATTTTTTAATGTGGGCTCCAACTAATTCTGCAAGTTTAGTGCTTATTCCAACTGCACGACGCCTAGAGAGGAATTTATAGGGATGCATTTGGTCAATGGCTTTGGCAATGACCCAACCTATCGCATGTATAGTCTCCGTGTCACTTCGCGCCACTCGAAAGTCTTGATATGAGGTGATGGGCACGGTGACGACACTCAGGCCTTCCATAGAGCCATGATGAAGTTCGTAAAGAAAACAGGCATCCTCTAGGTATTGTAAACTTTATTAGTAATAATATAAAGCATTATTATTTGCTTTATATTATTACCAATAATGTTTATATTATTATTATTATTATTATTATTATTATTATTATTATTATTTGTCTTCATTTTTCCCGTACCAAAGAGGGGAAGGGACCCCAAATCAAAAGCTGCAAAACTGCAGCTTGAGTGCACCTGAGGCCCCCCAAAAAAATACATTCATGTAACGTACATGGGAGAAAAAACTAATACGTAGCCAACCAGTGAAAATTCAAAAACATTGCACATACAGGGTCACATACAGTAAATAAAAAAAGAAATAGAACTATGCCAATGGCAACAAAATAGTACTCTTACTAGTAAACAACAAAAAGACCTATACATTGTACCATACAAATTCATCTTTATGTTCTTTGGGTGTTATCATGAGTAGGCGACAATCGTGTTTTTCATATATAGGTTCTAGCGGACCAAGTGTTAAAACATTTTCTAGAAGGATCAGCACTATGTTCAAATAGGGCGGTGAATCGAAACATTTGGATTCTTATTACAATTCATTTTCTGCCATGAACTGGTAATTATAAAAGAGGCCAGGCGAGCGTAGAAGGCGCAGTACTATCCCAGCGAAAGTTAGAAAATGGGCCTTACACAACCTTTGCTAAACACTCATTAAGTAACTGCTGCAGGTACACTTGCTGGGTACCCACTACGGCATTATTAATAATAATTTCTGAGTACCAAACCCCCATTCGCTATGCTATTTTTCGTCCTTCTTCTGAGAAGCGGTGAATTCGCCAGACAATTGCTGGAAATATGTGCCAGTTGTTAATGCAGGGGCTGGCGACGGTGAGAAATTATGTCTGAAGTGGGTTCGTGCCACAGTTATTAGGTGAGTAACAACAACCTTTTATAATGGGTTGGAGAATTGGACGACCCACTGGTTACGCTATTCGCACTGCGCGATGACGGCTTGTCCTTTTGCTGCTCTGAAACGCTTATTACTCATAATAACGCGATTTCTTTCCTGACATCAAGCCTGTCTTAGACAAGTTTGTGAACAACTCTCGAGCACCGGCGTGGCTGAGTGGTAGAATGCTGGGCTGGCACCCATTGGAAACGGGTACGAACGCCACTGTGTTATTAGTACTAAGTTTTTTTGCTAATTTCGCGCGACGTGGTTACAGACACCGACGGTGGTGGCGGACAAATGCGGTGTTGCGGGTTACCAAAGTTGTGATTTCATAACAACTTTCGCTGTAATAAGAAATGTAGCATAGACAAGTACTCGCTGACAGCCTCGCAAGAAATCGATTCCCACAGCTGATGGAATTTTAGCGCGATATAGTTGTATGTGCCGGGTCTGCTAAGGCTCAATTGACGTATTTCCGTTTTGTGAAGCTAGCGAAATGACCACGAGCGCATCCTAAGCATGGCATGTAGGCATGTTCCTACACGTCACGCATCTCATGATTATATGTTTGCAGCAGTCATATACCTTCGTCGTCCATACACGTCACGTAAAACCAAATTCTGTATAGGTGCAGCTCGCAAACAGGCCGCGAGCCTGCTATGAGGCTAGCATGTAGTCATATTTTACATGACACGCATGCCATGATTATTTTTGAACGTGTCATTTACATCCGTAGTCTATTCACGTCACGTAATACCAAATTTGGTATATGTGGAGCTACCTAAATGGCCCAAAGCACGCTATGAGCGTACTATGTAGTCATGCTGTTCATGACACGCATGTCATTATTATGTTTGGATGTGTCATTTTAACGCGACAGCGTTAGAGAGCTTATGTCGCAGAAAACCCACCGCCGTCGTCGGCCCCGTTGGTTGTGCGCGAAAAATCGTCTTTGCGTCTGTGACCGAAAAATTAGGTTGCCGAAATAGCCGCAGGAGGCCGCTACTTGTGCATGCATGCGCGCGCGATCACACTGAAAAGCCGCGTTTACGAAGAAAAAAAAAGTGCTCAAGGTCATGAGGCGCGGTAGTTTCTTTGCCCTGCCACCTCTCCCTGCTCAGCTTTCAGCGCTTTCGTCCGGACGAGAGAAGAGATAATGCCATTGCAGCATGCGACAAACCTTTGTAACTCCACTCTCACTGGACGGATTCTTAAATTTTCTGCGGCGCTGAATTCGTGAGGCAATAAGCTCTTATAGTGAATTCATTCTATGGTCACCTGAAAAAGTGTTTCAGGGCCTCTTTAACACATTTTGTTCGACAGCTGTCACGACAAAAATAAGCCCATTCGGCGATAATAGCGCGCGCTGGTCCAATATACTCTGTGCGTACTTGTGTGCGTGCGTGTGTATGTAACAAAACATATTATTAAGTATGCACTTAGCTGTTGAAGGGT